ATCTGGGCAGTCTGAGGATGCCAGGATAGGATGTCCACCGCAGGAATGTGTATCTCGAAGCCCTAGAAGCACCACTCTGGCAACCAGAAGTTCAGCCCCCCCCCCCCCCCCCCCCCATTTCCCAAGTCCACTTCCTGGTCCTTATTGCTGATGCACGGGCCCCGGCCCCCAGGGTTCATGGCACCGGGGATGCTGCATGTTGGAAAGCTGAGATGCACATCACAGGCTGTCTTTCTATTTCATTGGCTCCTCCATCCATTTTCTGTAACGTCCATCTTGTTTTCTGGTGTGTCTTTGTTTCTCTTCTCTAACCTTCCCTGCAGCCGCATTCTGTATTGGTCTGTCATTGTCGGGCCATTTGGACAAGTGCATGCTTAGAGATTTGGAAAGCTTTTCACTTTGTTTTGGGCTTGGTCTGTGCTATGTTTGCTGAGTTCCTCTTCCCTCCCCTTTGAAATACTCTTAGACATTATGTTCTGTGTCCACAAAGTATAAATCAGATTTGTGAACAGGAGGGCTACATATATTCAGTCTCTTTGAAAGGAATCTTTTCTGTTTCACCATAGAAGTGATTTACTGTGATGCAAATACCTGACACTTGCTCAAGAAAACCATGATGCTTATTGAAACTTTAGACAAGAACCAGCAATCCTGAAACTCTGTCACGAAATTCTAGATGCTGCCAACTTTAAGGTCCCCTCAAAGGACTCATTTATATTTTGGAATATAAGCACTTAGAGTCCAGAAAATTAGGCAGTATTCTAGCATGTTCCCCTAGCAGACACATGCATGGCCATTTTGATCTACTTGTCTTAGGATTTGTCACTTGGGCTCTCAGGTACCAAAAAGAAGATTGAAAATTAGGACAGAGCATTTGAATGTGTTAAGGACAGTGAGAATCCTGTAAGTGATTGATCTCTCAAGGACTGAAAAATTGGCTTAGTAGGCTGATATGGGAGGAGCTAAAAATGAAGGCTAAGAAATATAAATACACGGTAGCTTCTTTTTCATTATTGATTTTTGGGTGAGTGCAAGCGTGGGAGGGACAGAGAGCGAGGGACAGAGGATCCAAAGCGGGCTCCATGCTAACAGGCGGACAGTCTGCCAGCACTGAGCCCGACGTGGGGCTCAAACTCCGAAACCACAAGATCCCGACCTGAGCCAAAGTCGGACGCTCAACCGACTGAGCCACCCAGGTGACCCACGTGGTAGATTCTCATCATAGTAGCTAAGATCACTCACAACTAAGAACAATCCAGTACAAGGAAGGACTTATTTAAGGAACAAAATGGCTATGAATGTGATACATAGCAATATTCTACGACAGATACGCTATTATATAATTTTTAAACAGTGTCTCCATTCCAAGCTAATGGTGATGATAATGTTGATGATGGAAATGCCTTCCGTATATCCTCTTTCATCTAACACCTCATGTATTACTTTGCCTAAGTAATGAACTAAGCGTAAAGTAACTGTTTTAGGGCCCTTATCAGTTATTTCCTTCTAGAATAAAGTTTTACCACTTCAAGATAGGGTGTTTAAGTTAGAATAAGGAAAGAGGGCTCATCTTGAGGGTTTTGCTTTTTTAAAAAACACCAAAAAAATGTTTAATGCCTTTGGTATTTCAAGGGCTAAGAATTTGGTATCTAGCAAGAGTATTCTGAGACCTTGTCCCTAATGAGCCACGGTGACATGTGGAAATCATACTGCACAGAATCCCTTAAACGGATGTGTTGCTGAGTCTGTCTTCACCTAGTGTTTTAAAATGTTTTGTGGGAGGTTTTAAGTGATTTTAGCATTAAATCTATTTACAAGGACTTGAACATAGGAGTAAGGGTTTGTTGTTTTTTTTTTTTTAAGCGACTAGAAAGGTCACTAGTTACTGAAATATGCAGCCAAATAAAGAACTATGCCCAACAAGAGACAGCATTCGGCCCGAATTCCCCCATCCGGAGCTCAGACAACCACTCATCACAGCCTCCACATGATAGACTGTAATGCTTGGGCAAATGCTGATTCTGATACCCTTCAGCCTTTGCACCCCACATATGCAGATATTTTTGTGTGTGCATGCCACCGGCTAATAATTGTCAAAACAAATGTAACGGCATCTCGTCCGATTGGGTATTGTAACCCAAATCTGTGAGAACATTTCCCTGAGATATCTGACGTTCTTCTACAAGTACAGGAAGGTTAGAGTTGACGGGTAGGAAGCAGGGTGGTTCAGGAGCCATAGCAGCCAGTGCTCAGGATATGCAAAAAGAGTCTTCAAAAGGCAACCTCGGGGCGCCTGGGTGGCTCAGTCGGTTGAGCGTCTGACTTCGGCTCGGGTCATGATCTCACAGTTCGTGAGTTCGAGCCCCACGTCGGGCTCTCTGCTGACAGCTCGGAGCCTGGAGCCCGCTTCGGATTCTGTGTCTCCCTCTCTCTCTGCCCCTCCCCCACTCATGCTCTGTCTCTCTCTGTCTCAGAAATAAATAAACATTAAAAATTAAAAAAAAAAAGACAACCTCAAATTAGGTGAGAAAACCATTTTTCTAGACCTTCTTTTGAGAACAGCTCACAAGAAGTATTCTGGTTTTCAATTCTCGATTACTCTTGTGAATCATTTCTGATGTTTACAGGAGTAAATAATTCCTCTGCAGTGAAATGGTTACATGGGGGTTATCGAGGATCTGGTGGGAAAGTTATAAAAAGGGGGTGCTGTTGTGACCCCATGGTTCTATACAAACATTTGGCTGCCTTTAATCAAGAGCAGCATGATGGTTAATCCTGCAGTGGTGCCTGACTAAATTGGGCCATTAATAGCTATAGAATTCTCTAGCAGGTGACTTCAGTCATTCATTTGCAGACATTAATTAGGACCTACTTCTAGGCTGCGCACTAGACTCAGCTCACGAAGATGAATGAGACCTAGTTCTAATTCACTCTGCGATTGAAAACAGGGTTTACTTCTAAATGTAAAACCACATTCTTCCTTCCCCTCCTTGCCTCTACCTGTGTCTTTTATACTCATTTTTTTTTTTTCAGACACGAGCTGGTTATTTCTCGTTAGGAGAGTGATAGTAAATGAAACTTTAAAAAAATAAAATAGATATAAAATTAAAAATAAAAGAAAAAGAAAAAGAAAAAATAACTTAAAAAAATTAACCATAATAGATCAGAAGTTTGGGGTGAAGCATCATCATTTTTGGAAGCTGATATCTAACTTAAATAAAGTCTACATTATAATGCATCGGGAGCTAGATGTGAAAGTGACTCTTGAGGAAAAAAAGAGAAAGGCTTCAGACCATAACAACTAAAAACCTGGCATCTACATTTAAGCCAGGGACAAATTCAGATCGTATTGGAAAGATCGCACTGCCCATTCAGTCCAGATATGTGCTCCGGTTACCTAAAAATACACGTGTTAAGAAATTAAAACCCTGGTAAGCACGTCATTTTAAAACTCCAGCAATTGACATCTTTCATACTTTGCGGGCCAGATTTAGAACGGCGTGGCTTATTTAAGGAAATCGGCTCGTGCTCTCTTTTGTAAAGATCTAGAGTTATTTCAAACTGTTAGCCTTAACTGATAGATAAATTACACGTTATCAAAACGTACAACTTTTGTGCTTCAACGGACCCTATCGAGACAGTGAAAGACAACCCGCAGAATGGGAGGAAATGTTTGCAAATCATAACATCTGACAAGGGACTTACATCCAGAATATATAAAGAAGTCCTATAACTCAGTAACAAAAGTAGTTGCATTTTAATCCGCTAATTTTTGCCAGTACATCTTCTGGTGTGTTCTCGGGGCCAATGTTTACTCAGACACGAGGTGGGAGGACAATTTAGGGCAGTAGCTGATCTCTGGCCAGTTGAGCCCAGGTCTCAGTTCATCCTGGTCACAAGGGAGCAATGGTGGCTTTGGTGGCACTCAGGGCTTTGCAGCCACCTGCCAGCAACCTTTTCTAGCCCCTTCGCTATTCTCCCATCCAAGAGCAGCCTGCTGTCCAGCCACAGTATTGCTCCCACACACATGGCCCTTCCTTCCTCGTGATGTTCAAGCCCTCTGGAATCCGGGTCTGGTTATCCCTTGACCCATCCACCCACCCACCCACCTGGTGTGCTTACTCTTTGACACCCCACTCCATCTAATATCTCAGCTTTCTGAAAGAACTCAGGGCCCCTTCCCCTAGGTATGCATTTACGTGTCACAGTCTGTCTCCTTAGGTAGATTCTGAGCCCCACTCCCCACCACAGTGACGTCTCATTCACCTGCGTGTCCCCAGTCATATAGCTCAGTGCCCAGCCATGGTAGCTGTCCATTCGCAGAGGGAATTGCTGGACTGAGTGGCATCTGAGTGGAGCGGAGCCTTTAAAGAGAAAGGCGGAGAGTGCTATAAGCGGTCCTGAAGTTCCAAAAAGAAAGGGCTCTGTCTCCGTGGTGTGTATTTCAAAGTGGGGCAACAGAAACATTGGCTGTAGTGCAGGCACTTTGCATTGCTGAGGGGAGGGACTGGGTGGCCACGCGGGCTCCCAGACGTGGCCTTCCGTTTGGAGAAATATATTGCAATTGCCAGCCTCTGCCATCATGCCTGGAAGTGATCGTATTTGGGTTTGCCTATCCTGCCCCCTCACGTGCTTGGGATTTCGTCGTCCGACAACTGATCCTGAATCATTAGCAAGTGACCTTCCATGACTCTTCATGTACCTTCCATCTAATCAGTTTGCTGCTAGCTCACGGCCTTCAACCGCATGCCATCGGAATGACGCCCCCTACCGCTAGCTGCTTCTAACCCAGTCCCACGTGAGCTCAAGTCTCTCCTGCCCCAAAACGTAACCTTCTGTCACCTTGTGAGCCAAGTTGATAAACTGAGTTTGTTTCTTTCGTTTCTCCTTTTTGGTATACCTCCTCCCGGTCTGTCGTGTTGAAGTTTGATTATGCTTGCTCTGTTTTCTTTATTGCTGTCCCTTCCCTCATTTTGTTTTCTCCATTCTTCTCATTGGAGGCAATGAGCCGTCCAGCGGCCGGAACTCCCCTCTCCCTTCCCGGCCAGACAGCCGCCCTGTCACTCCAACTTACGCTCAGGCCCCTAAACATTTCCATGTTCCAGGTAGGAGCTGACACGGTCTTTGTTGGGGTGTCCTGTCACGGTGTAGAACGTAGCCCTGTTACCTGTCTCGTCTCATTTCTCATGCTCTCGTCATTGGGATGCACACAGTCGACAAACCCTAAATTGCACGATCTGACCTAGAGGGCCTTTCAGGAGTTTTGGATGCGAAATGCCAGGATTGTATGGAAGGTTTACGTTTTCTCAAAATTTTTTGAAGGGAGGTCGGAGGCAGAGGGTGAAGGAAGAAGGGTTGAGTTGCTTTGGGTTTTTGGTTTTTTTTTTTTTTTGGTTGTTTTTTTTTTTTGGACTAAGATTTTAATTTTACCTTTATATTAGTGCCTCCTGAGATACCACTCTGTGGTTTGGTGTCATTGACAATTCTCGCAATGGCAACCTAGTTACCTTCTCATCCTAAAGGTGAACCTTTAGGTGAACCACAACATCTCGAGAATACTTTTGTTTTTTTCTCCTGTTTGTCTCCCATGCGGAGAATCTTTCTATGGACTTTTCAGAGAGGTGTAAAATTGGATCAGTTAGTTGGATGGTCCTTCTGCAGTGCGTAACCAACTGACTACCTCCTTAGCCCACAATGATATCTTGCAATTTAGGCTTGGTGCTGTAAGCTTTGCTGAAGTCATAAGCATCTGCTGTCACGGTACAAATGGTAATTTGCCATCAAGAACTGGAAATCCCAGGACCCATCATTCTCTTAATGTTTACAGTCAGCTCAATTTGTAAGGGCAAGATTGGCCATCCAAGGTCACGATGTCATTTTTCCATGGGAAGTACATTGTTTTACTTCTTTAGCTACTGAAAGTGGTTCAATACCTTACCCATTAGGGGTAACATATTCAGAATCTATAATCGTTTTTTTTTTTCTTTTGCATTCCAAACTTACCTGATAAAACAGAGGAAAGCTCACCGAGATTCATACCACTAAGATAGAGCTGCCTTTTAAAATAAAGCTTCACTGAACTTTAAAATCAGTGTTGTGTACATTTGCAACTTTTTTTTTGCATGAAGAATGCCCCCACCAAGATACGGTGGCCATGATTCTGAGGAAGCAAACCTTTTGAAATTTCCTGAGCATTTGCAGTCAAAGTGAAATGGTAGCATAATCAGATGCAGTCCTGTATAACAAATGAATAATATTTGGCTTCTCTCTTTCTTTCTTTCTTTCTTTCTTTCTTTCTTTCTTTCTTTCTTTCTTTCTTTTTTAAATTTGCCCTCTACAAGTTGGAATTTTCTCAGACGTCCATCCTGTCAGGACATCAGACTAGCCTTGCACATAAGAACTGTTTCTATGTTTTAAAATAACTACTCTTAACTATATGACATTGCTTTCCACTGTTCCGCTCATTAGCTAAAAAGTAAATTGAGCCCCTGGTATCTACTGGGAGCTCAATTTCTGGACAGTAGCAATTTGGGGATCTTCCCCAAACTGGTTATGTCTTCCTCACCACTAGAGTCCCTTCCACTGCTTGCGTTTCTTCCTGTTTTAATCTCACTTTTAGTGAAGTGTGTATTTGCAATAAATGGCTCATGAATGAATTGCATCTCTATCTATCCTAAGATGTATTACAAAGGATTCCATATCACTTGTCTATAGTGATTCACTCATTCCTGTGACCTCTTCTTCTAGTAACCTCAATCTTTGTAATACAAAAGTTAACCTTCTGGGTTGATTTTGTTCAAGAGTCTTCAGTTTGGTTTGCCTCTTGGTTGATCTATTTTTCCCCACCGCTGAACCGGTTCCCATAATCACACACCTTTGCTTTTCATTTCCACAGATCAAGGGATCAACATTTACCGAAAACCACCCATCTACAAACAGCATGGTAAAACCCTCTTTCCTCCGCGTAGCTTTTAAGTAGTGATATCAGCTGAACTCTCTGCTGTCTGTCCTCTGAAAGGCTTCCCTGCTGCTGCTTTTGAGAATCAAACTGGGGCACCCAGCGTGTTATGCCTTTATGGTTCCCTAACACGCAAATGTTGTGAGATTGGTTTTCCTGGATGGAGAACGCTTAGTTTGGTTAGGAAACTCCTAGGCAAATCTTTGAGCCCATGAAACCGTGTATCGTTGCATTCCTAAAGGAGGGAAGGTACTGCTCACACAATAATTCACAAATACCGTTTTTTTTTTGTATGTGCCATCAAATAATGTAACCAGCCTCTATAGTAATTTTGTTGAGCTTCTAATTAGTTGAAGTAATTAAAATAGTGAAGGCCAGCAACCTAGAAAACTTAGCTGGATTAAGTCTACATTAACTTGACTGTCCAATTCCCCAGATGTCTGCACCTTGCAGTGGAATGGATAGGACACACCCAAGACCAAGGCCCTGGGCCCCAGCCCTTCCCCTCAATGGCTCTATGATATCATGGACATGATTTCTCTGCCCCTCAGTTTTCTTTTAGACAAAAACCAGTAAGTTAGGCCAGCCACTCTCTGAAATTCCTGCAAATGAAAATCCCTAATACGGATTTATAACTGTGTTTTCCTTTTCTGGAAATAGAGAATTTTTAAACCCAGGAAATCATATTACCATAGGTAGATCACATTTCCCTCCACCATTATTAGGTCTCTATAGATTAGATGCCATAAATCTTTGTGAATGGATAGAAAGCCAAGACTGGTCTTCAGGTGATGTCAGAAAATTATACACATAACATGCCTGGAAAGTTGAAGGCTGCCATTAAAATCTAGTTGACATTAATGAGTCCTTAAGGATTAGGATGACCTGAAAAGCAAAGAAAGTTGAAAATGCACACAGGAAAAAATTGAGACCAACATTCTAGGGGAAAAAAAAAAAGATTGTACATATTGTAATGGTTCTACCACTGTGATTTTTTTTCTTTTTTTTTTTTTTTAAGATTTTACACCGTGTGCTCGCTTTTTTAAGTTTGTTAACATTGTTTTTGTTTGTTTTTTTATGGTTTAATGTCTTCTCACCCACTCATTAACATGTGAATGTTTACTGACTTCACCAATTCTAATGCGTAAGTACTTACTGTTTGAAGTCATGCTTTTTTTTTTCTAAATTTACAAATGAGACTCCAAGAGTTTGATTTATCAATGTAGAAACTGTTTTTATTACTAAAATCTCTAAGGCCCTACCTCTCTAAACAAAAATAATCAAATGATTAAGATTTAAAGAGATTGGATAGGGTTGGCTTATTTATTTAAGAGATTGGCTTTTTTTTTTTAATGAAATGTACTCTGACTTGACTCTCAGTTTGTTGTAATTAAGAATAGCACAGCCAGAGTGGCAGTTCCCAAAGAACATTCTGCAAAAGAGCAGTTCCATGTGATAGAAATAGAAGGTACATCAAACCTGGTGTCTGGGCCCCAGTGCATTTGGAAAATGCTAGATTTAAATACAGTCACTATTTTTTTGTTTTGTGATGCAGAACATCTCAGTCCTTAATATGCTAACACATCTTTAAGAAGGTGATGTAGTAAGCAGTGTTTTCCCAGCTGAATTTTTTATTTTTTCTCAAGAGGTTAGAGACTCAGAAGCGCTACCCCGTGCTTGGCCAACACTTCACCCCTTATGAGCATATAGGGTGACCGTGGTCAAGTCACTTAAGGAAAACGAGACCCAGAGGGTTACTAAAAGAATGGGGAATTTGAGCTAAGGGTTCAAAAAATTATTTCCAGATTTTAAAATGTGTGAGCCCAGAGAGGGGGGGATAGTTTTTATTTAAAGCATTATAACTATATTTTAAATGTTTAGTAGCATCCCAGGCCAGTCTGCCAAATTAGCCAGAATCAGGGTCTGACCATTTAGCCTGGTTTGTTTTGTTGCAGCTCTGTGATTAGATTTGGAGTTCTAAGCCAGCGACAACTCTAAGCCGAGCCATTAAGAACCCTGTGAACTGAGGCCATTGTTAGTCTGGCTTTTGTTGTCTTGAAGTTGGAAGGCTCACTTAGGCGTGCAGACCCTTGAGGGAAATAAGGAGTGTTTTGCATACATGCATAAGTCAACATACGAAAGGCACAATGCTAAACTCCTAGAAGCTAAGCATGGATTTTCCCATTGCCATTTCTCCTAGGACTCCAGACACATATATAATATGTAAAGAGTAGAATGAACTAGACAGATGATTGCTAAAATGAACAGATACAAATACACAAACATGCAAAGCCAGCCCTCTTATGGTTAACAACTACAGTCAATGGACGGCGTCATGCTTTTTAACTTAGCTCTTTAATTTCAAACTACTAATTCAAATTTCTGATTGCTCTAGAAGAGTATCATCTGATGGAACTTTCTGTGATGACAGAAATGTTTGTTCTCCGATGGTGCTTCCAATATGGTGGCCACTCATTACACGTGGCTATTGAGCGCTTAAAATGTAGCTCGTGCAACTGAGGAACTGGATTTTAATTTTATTCATTTTCTGGTTTCATTTAATTTTATTAATTGAAGTAGCCATGCGTAGCTAGAGCTAGTATCGGATGGCCCAGCTCTACAATAAGGTATTTCAGATGTAGAATGAAATTTTGCATCCAACAGAACATAAGGAAAATCACTTGTCACTAGGTGCCACTGAGTGACTGGGCAATTGCTAAGAGCCATAAACAGCTTTCTGGAGTTGAAACTTTTGCCAGAAAACAAGACAACTATGGAAGTGGGTTGTACCACCACGACCTTGCAGACCGATAGCTAAGCTCCCCCCCCCCCCCCCCGATTCCCGCCTAGATGCAGCTGCCTTAGCAGCCCAGAGCAAGTCTTCAGAAGACATCATCAAGTTTTCCAAGTTCCCAGCAGCCCAAGCTCCAGATCCCAGCGAGATACCAAAGATTGAGACGGATCACTGGCCTGGGCCCCCCTCACTTGCCGCCGTAGGTATGCAACTGCTGTGGCTAAGCCAAAATGGACAAATTGGTAGGAGATCACAAAACGAAATGCTTAAAACTATGCAAGAAAATGTGTCCTATCGTAAAGACATTTAGGAAAAGTATGACCAGAGCATTTGGGTGCCAAATGCTTCACAATTACAAAAACCCAATCACGAGAGCCTTGCACTCACCAACCTGCTGAGAGACAGCCAGAACTGGTCTAAAACAGATGATCTGCAGGGACTCTCAGAGTTACTGCAGAATCAGTAACTTTTGAACTAGTTGAACCAAAGCCTCCCACCAAGAACACCGTTTATAAGTAGAGTCTAGTGGGTGACTACCAAGTGTCCACAGAGGTGTGACTTCTTTCAGTGACATTTGTTTTAGGTTATTTCTGGGTTGAAGTTACAATTCTCTTAACAGCCAGTCCTAACACTGAAGCACTTCTGCCTTACTCGTGAGATCACGTTCTCCTTTACTAAGAAAGGCTGTCACCGAGTAGTAGGTGTTCTGGAATAACCACTCGTATGAAGTTGTGTGATTTTCCATCTCATTTCCATGAATTCTGTGCTAAAATGTCACGTTCCAGCTGTTTCATTCTTTGCTTTGAACCACAAATTTATGCTTTAGAACCGTGTCTGTGTCTTTCCTGTTTTGCAAGTTGTGAAATCACTTGGCCTAAAAAGGGGTATTTAGCAAACACAGAAGCTAATACTGAAGATTTAGTGAGTCAATTTTGCAAAGATAGAACTATCTTCTCACATGTCTGTTGACAACCTTTTTTAAAAGGCCTTCAATGTTCCAAATTTTCTTCATCGTGCTTTTTCTCATCAAGCCATTTTCTGGAATAATTTTTACAAACAGTACAAGTGGACTTTAAAGCAATCTATATTTACAGAAATACTTGAGGGAAAATTTCCCTCCTTAGTTCATTATTCCCAAGTACTCTGTATATTATGCTGACTTAAGATTTATTTAATTCTTGCAAACTTGTGTCTTTTCATTTTTATTAGCATAGATTAAAGAGAGTAAATTCACATTGACATTTATGATTTTAGGAACTAAGAATCAACCAATCCTCAGCTTTTCCCTGCCAGTTTGTGCCCTGCAGGCACTTCTTGTGGCCTTTGAGGTTCGGTTCAGTCATGTTGCTTTGTGGGGACACATACAGCTAAATTTAGGGCAGAGGAAGAAGAATGTTTTGTGATTAAAACCATCACCACTAAATAGTTTTTGGGTTCCAAAGTGAAGCAAATTTCTGGCCCATTAATCAAAAGGATAAAAACAGACTATAGGTTAAAGTTTATTTTGATTAGATTAGCAAGCTTGCCTGTTTGCTCCCACAGCCAGATTAATCCAAGCAATTTAGGAAAAACAATAATTATCTTAATTTTACAACCATGCGGACAGATTCCTCCCTTTCACTCCCTGTCTCCCCTTTTCCAAGAAGCTTAAAAATTGTAAGTGATTTGCTAGATTGGGATGAAATAAGTAACTTTTGAGCTGTATTAATGCTATTTTATTGACCTATTAGCATAAAACTCTCTCGTGACCATTTTTGCCAAGGATTGAGGGAAGGAAAACATTGGAGACTCATCCCTTAAAAGGAAAATAAAAGCATGCTTTTTAGTGAATTTAAGGGCAGAGGGAGGGTGATTGTATGACAAGTCTGTTCAGAAAAAGAGAACACGAGAGAGTGACGATCTTACCTATTGGGCGGTATGTATGTGACCTTGGGTTCCCCTCTTTGAAACTTGACCTCCGAGAGATCCAAATAATAACTCTAGATGCCTTCCCACCTATGACAGAGGGCTGCGGCCAGTGGCTGATGGGATGACTGAGCCCCAGCCATAAGGGCACGCCAAGTTCTAACTGAGCAGGTCAGTTGTCGGGAGGCCAAAGGTCATGCCTTACCAGATCACGCGTTGAGCTGGCCTGTCAAAGGAGGCCCCCGTCTCGAGAAACCCACCCGCAGGGCTCAGTCGGCGGTGGGCCCTCTTTTCCTTGTGTTGTTCGTGAACGTTAAAGACTGCTGCGGATTTTGCCATCGGGACAAGTTGAGCGCAGGTGGACTAGTGCCTTAAGATCCCCTTGCCATGGGGCTCATGTGAGAAGTTGTCTTTGCTGTGGAATTAGGAGCCGACATGAGACGCAGACCTAGTGGCAGAGAGGAAGATGACGAGGAGCTTCTGAGGCGCCGGCAGCTGCAGGAAGAGCAACTGATGAAGGTTTGTCCTTAAGCTACTTTGCTGCAAAGTCTCCAATTCAGTTCCATAGACCCGGAAGTTTCAGTGAATGCGATGGGTGAGCCTCCAAGGGAGTGAGAGGTGGTCCCGGCCCTCAAAGGGCCCGAAATCCGGTAGGCGACCGAAGATGGGCCTCAGGTGACTATAAGACAGGGTACTTAGTGGGTTCTGGAAGAGATGGCCTGGAAGCTGGAGGTCAGGGGGACGTGGAATGTTCGAGCTTCTGTGAGGAGAGCGTGACCGTGTGGGGCGTGTGTGTGCAGTGCACGCGTTGAAAGGGTGCCAAAGGGCCGGGTGGACCCACGCTGTCACCCATGCGGTGCAACACCTGCCTTCCTTCCCCCGGGGCAGCTTCTGCCGAAGGAATTCCCTTGGGACTGAGTATCTGTCCAAGTCTTTCCTCGGGACTTGTAGGACCTAATATGTTGATGTGGGCCAGGAGGGAAGGGACAAAATGGACTGCCACCAAGAAACCCGCATTATACCCCTTCCCACAACATCCCAGAAGACCAAAAGAAGGATAGTCCATTATAGCCTGGGGTAGAGGGAGCCGGGAAATTATATACCCTCCCGCCAATAAGAAACTAATGAATCCGCTCCAATGACATTTTCCAAAGATACTTAAGCGTGTGGGAAACGCACAAGATACTAGTTGTATGGAGGGAAAGGTTACAAAGTTGCACTCATAGCATGAGTCCAGTTTTGTATAATATGCGCATGGAAAAATACAGGATGGATAGAAATCAAAATGTAAATGGTGGTTATCTCTGAGTGGTGGACTATGGGCTACTCTTCTCTCCTTCTAGATTTTCTAAAGTCTGTGCAACGAGCATACATTACTTGCGTTTTCTTGTTTTTAAACAAATCAGCGTAATTTCTTTTTTTAAAGATACTCTCCCCAAACTCCCCTCTGTGCTTCAAAAATCGGCATACACACATGCCTCCTGAGGTCACCTCAGGGCACGCTGGGCAGGGCGGAGGAGAGAGAACATTCTTCTGACATGGCCTAGGGGAATGGTATCTTGACATTAAAAAAAGGCTAAGAGGGGTTCAAGGTTCAAAACCTGGCCTACCCGCTGGGGAACCACCGGCCTCTGGGTGGTTCACTCTAGAGTCAGAAACTTCTTGCAGGACCTTCTCAAAACAGAAACTGCCATCTGTGACCATAATTGTAGACTCCTCTTTTATGTGTTTTTTCTCTGTGAATAGCTCAACTCAGGCCTGGGGCAGTTGATACTGAAAGAGGAGATGGAGAAGGAGAGCCGGGAGAGGTCTTCCTTGTCAGCCAGTCGCTACGATTCTCCCATCAACTCAGGTGAGCAGCGGACCCACTGCCTTCTCCCAGCGGGAGCCAGCCCCCTGCCTGCAGGGAGCCTGCCTGGCCTGTTCCAGGAGAGGCAGGGACACTTCTGGTGTGTTCTCCGTGAAAGGAAGTACAGGAAACCCACTGCGTGTCAGCTTAGCTTACGAGGATGCCGTAGTTCTTCCTTAAATGTGTATCTTCTTCATGACGGAAGGGGGGGGTGCCTGGGAGGATTTTCTGAGGGTCTGTTCAGAATACTCATCTTAGAGGGAATCCATGAAAGGAAATCCTTACAGAGAACAGATGCTTTTGGAGCATTTAGAGACACGGGTGTATCATGTATATCTGTAATGTGTGGAATACACACACACACACACACACATACACACACACACACACACAATTAGAAGTAAACATAAAGGAAAAGCTCAATCACTGAGAGGTCTAGATCAGGCAGGGAAGGAAGAAGGTACATAATCAGGATCTTCTGTCTTTCTGGGTTTTATGCCCCCTGCTGGGAGAGGAGGACATCCACATACACAGAAGTAGCCACTGATATTCTCTTACCCTAGAAAGGGTCTCAGACTTTCTAAACCCATGTACTTCCAACTCCTCTTACCTTACTTCCGTTAGAGAAGAACCCTTGGCTCAAGGGAACTTGATTTTGCAAGAGACTTCTTAACATTTGATGAAATTGATTCACCCTTTTAATCTGGAACACTGTATGACAATGTGAATCAAGCCCTTATAGTTCATTTCATTTTGACTATTCTCTTTAAAAAAAAGAGAAAGGCAGGGCACCTGGATGGCTCAGTTGGTTAAGCATCCAACTTCGGCTCAGGTCATGATCTCCCAGTTCCTAAGTTCAAGCCCGGCATCGGGCTCTCTGCTGTCAGCACAGAGCCCAGTTTGGATCCTCTGTCCCCCTCTCTCTGTCTCTCTACAGCTTGTTCTGTCTCTCTCTCTCTGTCAAAATAAACAAACTTTGAAAAAAAAGAAAGGGAGGGAGAGAATAGAATGCTTTTTGATTATAGAGACCTTGAACAACATTTTGAAGACATTGTGATTTTACATTCAGATATTCACTGAAAGAGCTGAAGACAAGCAGAGTTGTTTTTGATACTTTTGAAGGAGATTACTTACACACTGGGCTGAAATAGTTGATCAGTATATGTCCCCCTGCTTATATTTGTCGTAAGTCAGTGCCCTCCTAACCCACAATATTTCTTCTCCCGTGTTCTCAACTAGTGTGTACTTGTCCCTCTTAAAGTCTCTTTAACAGTATGTTTAATGTTCACTACATTCAAGCCCTTGTGTTCAACATTATTTCATTTATTCTCACAACATGCCATTGAAGTCGATGATGTTATTGTCATCCCCATTTCATAGATCAGAAGACGGGAGCAGGAAATTTAAGTAACTTACCCAATGTCACATTGTTAGTAACTAGCAAAACTAGGATTCAGGAGTCCAAGTGTTATAACCCCAGAGTGCACGGGAATGCCCGGCTGCCTCTCCGAGATGCCTCACTGGCATCCATCTTGCACTGAGTGGTTTACTAATCTTCAGAGCTCCGTCTAACTCTATAGCCCTGTTCTATAAGAATATATAGCACTATATCTACATGAGTCAAGAAACAAAGACTAACAGAGATGAAATCCCCAGAGGTGCCAAGTTGCAGAGTCAGAACTCAAACCCAGGTCTGCTCCCCTGAAAGCCCTATAGTTGATGTAGTGCGAGGCTGTTGATTAATGGGATATTAATGGGGAGACTCCATGAATGGGGTGGCTTATCCCACGCCTCTCCTGGTGGGCCAGGAGAGCATGACATTTACACGGTTGGCTTTCAGGTCACTTATTGCTGCCAGACCAATGGGGCATGAACGTATGCATCCAGGTAGCCCTGGGTTCAGATCATCGCTTCGCAGTTTATAAGATGCGTGACCTTGGGCAAGATACTTAACTTCTCTTAGCCCCTATTTCTCCTATGAAATGGAAATAATAATGGTATCATTAGGTTGTATTGAGGATTCAGAGATAAAGCAGCATCAGGGAACTCTTTCCTTCTCCATCCATTCCCTGCATGACCCAAATGTGGTGGCCTTTCAGGAACATTAGAGCCCAACGTTATCTGGGTTATTTTTTTCCATTTTCCTATGGATCTTCTTTTCTGTAAGGTAGAAGATAAATTGTCAGTTTCGTTACAGAACTGGACTTCTGGGGGCACCTGGCTGGCTGAGTCGGTACAGCATGCGACTCTTGATCTTGGGGTCGTGAGTTCAAGCCCCACATTAGGGATAGAGTTTACTTTTAAAAGAAAGAAGCTTTTAAGAATTGGACTTCTGATTTCCTCTTTTTTTTTCTTTTTTTACCTTTTCTCATTCAGCTTCACATGCTCTATCATCTAAAACCTCATCTCTCCCAGGCTATGGAAAAAATGGGCTTCACCGGGTAAGATTTGTCAATGAATTGTTCCTGAGTTTATTCCTTCTTCAGACCTGGTACGAAGTGCTGACATACTGTCTGAGTATGTCTGATAATATGATCTCAGTCCTAGGATATGAAGAAAATTATAATCTCTGATATTGTGGCAAATCACTTTGAGTTACAGGCAGAATAAAATAGTTCTATTGAGAGAAAGAGAAATTGACTGTAGATGGAAAAATAACCTCTATAAGTTCGTGGGAAGACTACATTAATTGATCGTGTGGCAAATATTTCAAGCTAAAAGTAATAACTTGAGCCCTTATCTCTGCTGTGAAAAGATACAGGAAAGTTCCTTGCAATCGCCCTCCCCCCAAAGCATAGGACAAATGTAATTGCGTAGCTGTGTGAAGAAACGTATTTTTATTTATTAGCAAAAGATAACCTGCTTATCCAGGTCTTGCTGCCATCAGAGGCATCATGATAAGACAAAGAGATTCCATAATAGTAGAAGAAAAATAACAAGGGCCCAGGAATTCAGCTTGGGAAGAACTCTTAGGATTTTGTAAATCCTTTCTTTCTTTTCGCCTGGCTCTAAAACCGTCATGGTGGAGTGGATTTTCTAACGATGTGTTATTCTTCCTCATCTCAGCCTGTTTCCACAGACTTTGCTCAGTACAACAGCTATGGGGACGTCAGCGGCGGAGTCCGAGGTAAGGCCATCGCGGTCACACTGCTGACTGACTGGCTGTGCAGTCACAAATACATGGTCTCTGTTCGTGCAGTCTGCCCTCCGAAAGTCGGATCGCAGCTAGCCTGTGGGAGCTCACGGAGCATGTATTAAAATCGCAAAGTGTCACCCCTGAAATGAGACCAGAGAAGCAGAGTTTGTAAGAATGAATTCATTGCTCCTGCCATGTGCCGAGCACTCCACCACATAGATCTCTGGAGTTACGGCACACTCTAAGCAAGACACGGCCCTCCTGTCAAAAATGCACATGAGGGGCGCCTGGGCGATGTCCGATTGAAAATCGACTTAACCGGCCAGGTCCGCCCGATCTCCCGCGGTCGTGAGTTGAGCCCCGCGTCAGAGCTCTGGGCTGACCCTGGCTCAGAGCCTGGAGCTATTTCTTGATTCTGTGTCTCCCTACTCTGCCTGCCCTCCCATTCATGCTCTGTCTCTCTCTGTCCCAAAAAATAAATAAACGTTGAAAAAAAAATTTAAAAAAAAAAAAAAATGCACATGAGGGGTGCCTGGGTGGCTCAGTCGGTTGGCTCACGGCTCGATCTTGAGTCTCTCACATTCACGCAGTTGAACCCGGTGGGCTCATGGCAGGCAGTTTTGGAGCCTGGAGCCTGCTTCAGATTCTGTGTCTCCCTCTCTCTCTGCCCCTTCCCTGCTCACGCTCTGCCTCTCTCTCTCTCTCTCTCTCTCTTTCAAAACTAAATAAACATTAAAAAAAAATGCACATGAGTGGGGCACCTGGGTGGCTCAGTCGGTTGAGTGTCTGACTTCAGCCCAAGGTCATGATCCCGCACTTTGTGGGTTTGAGTCCCGCGTCAGGCTCTGTGCTGACGTCAGAGCCCCAGACACCTGCTTTCATTCTGTGTCTCCCTCTTTCTATCCCCCTCCCCCACTCTGTCTATCTCCAAAAAATAAATCAACATTAAAAAAAATTATTAAAAAAAAAATGCACATGACTGAGTGAGACACAGGGACAGGTTGAGGTGACAAAAGAGAAGCTTCCAGAGATACATGCTGTAAGCAGAGAAGGCGGAAATACCTTCAGGCTGTCGGGGAAAGCCTCAGTGAAAAAAAGGGTGTTTTAACTGATAACTGAAACAGGAGTAGCATCTCCTAGCTTCAGGGAGACAGCGTGTCCAGAGACCCCAGCAGAGAGAAGAACACGGTGCCTTGTAGAATGTCTGCGGAATTGCAGTAGAATATTGTATATTAATGTGTCGTGTTTTTCTCTGATCTTTCTCTTCTGAAATGTTCTTTTTCTTTCCTTTCTAGACTACCAGGTATGGAACGCTGTCTTTCTCAAGTTGTTGACCACGCCAGCAAAACAGCCATTTACCAGTCCAGACTCGTGTGGCGGCTCAAGGGAAGGGTTTCTGTCGAGAAGATTCTTAACTTGGGTTGATTGGTCTGATTCATTAGCCCGGAGATGTGAGGAGCCGTAAGGATCAGGAATGCCCGATGCCCACGTCAAGCTGGCCCCGCAGGCCTTGGGGACGTGGCATAAACCAGGCCAGGTGTCCGAGGACTCTTGCTCTGGCCTCAGAGCATCCTCTCTGTGGCAGAAGTGGACCAACATCAAGGGTCTGCCCACATACAGTTTTCTCTTTCAGTTTTAACCACTCCGAGCTTTGGGTCCTCCCCTCCTTCCCATGGTCCCAAATGAAAAGAAATTCCTGTCCTGTCTGGTACCATTTCTTTTTTCCTAGACCCTAGCCTTATAAAATCATGATGGAGGATGGGGGCAGGGCGGGGGGGGATACAAAGAAAACTCAGAGTAAAGTAAGAAAATAATCACAGACTTGGAAATTTTTTAATATACTGTATACTTTCGTGTGTGGAGCCTAAATTAGGAATTAATAGTTGTTGTTTTTAAAGTTTATTTCCTTATTTGGAAAGAGAGAGCATGAGCAGGGGAGGGGTGGAGAGGGAGAAGGAGAGAATCCCAAACAAGCTCCGCATTGTCAGTGCAGAGCTGGACCTGGGACTTGATCTCAAGAACCAGGAGATCATGACCTGAGCCGAAATCAAGAGTCGGATGCTTAACCGACTGAACCACCCAGGGGCCCCTCAATAGTTATTAAGCCAGGGTCTTTCCCCACTTAATGACAGAACAGTATTCCCAGTATCCCTGCTCTTATGCAGAAAGGATTTCATTTTTGAAATATTTATGGTGATCACAATGGCACATCTGTAAAACAGGATTTGAGACAGAAACCGGGAGTTTGGGGAGGCTACACGGTTCCCCCCTCAGCTCCCCACGCTGTCATGTGCTCCTTAAAGCGGCTTTTCTGTTGCAGACTCTCCCAGATGGCCACATGTCCGGGACAAGAATGGACCGGGGGGTGTCCATGCCCAACATGTTGGAACCAAAGGCAAGTGTAGCCATTCTCCCGGCTCTCATATGGGAATAGCACACCGGGCCATCACCCTGAAGAGAGTTGGTTTTCTGCCGTTCCATCACACTCAGTGTTGAGGTCCACTTGCTTCCAGGCTGATACATCACACAAGCCACATCACAGAGTACCCTGACTTTCCACTGGTTTTGTCACACTGAGTCAACAGGTTTAAGCCCTCACTGGGTGCGGTATGATGTATCCACAGTGAAATACAGCACACCTCTCCTACGAGCTCTGTACTTGGCCCCTGGTACGAGCACTGCGAGGCACGCCCAGTGCAAAGTGGGGCACCCACAGACCACCCCAGATGGGGTGACCAACACATCCCGCTTGCCCAGGACTCTCCCAGCGTGAGCCCTGAAAGTCTGGCATTCCAGGAACCTCCTCCGTGCCGAGCAAACTGGGATGATTGGTTACCCTAGCTCCAGACCATCCTGAAACTCCAGAGGTGCCCAAGGCTATGCTCCCTGGTGACCATAACTGGGACTTATCTCAGTGTCCTCCACCAGAGGGCTTCTGGGCCTGCCTGGCTGCATGGAATCATGAGCCGGTCATGGAACAAGACCGTTGAACCCTGCAAGGGTACCCTGTCATATAAACCACATTCCTATCATTTCACTTCTAATTTTTCCCTTTACCCCCAAGACATAATAGGTTTGTATTCTTTCACTCTACAAAGCCCTCCAAAGGCACAGGGTCACATGAGACGTGGTGAGTTGAGAACGTATGAGAACTGGTCCCTGTCCATTGGATATTTGAGGAACACCCATCATTCAGATTCTATAATTACAATGTCTTAGAAGCTCTATCTTGGGAGTGCTAGATTTTAGGTAGATTCTGCTTGTTAATAAAATGGACAACGGTGTTCTAGAAGAGGTATTTTTCTTTGCTTCTCAGATATTTCCATATGAAATGCTGATGGTGACCAACAGAGGGCGCAACAAAATCCTGAGAGACGTGGACAGAACCAGGCTGGAGGTAAACTAACTAACTAACTAAATACATAAATAACTAGTCCCAACTGCAGATACCTGTGCACTTCCCCCAACTTTCCCCAGGCAAAAAAAAAAAAAAAAAAAAAAAAAAAAAAAGAATCAACCTCATATATTAGGTAGAACTACGATAACTTGGGATGAAAACCCAAATATACACTTAAGAGATCAGCCTAAATGTGTGGTGAAACCCCAAAGATGACCCAGGAGGCACAGTATGATTTTAGTCATTTTCTGTGGAAACGATGTCGTCATCATGATGGCCGGGGTTGTAGAGAACTCGAATCCATCCTTCTTCAGATACCCTAGAGACTGACCTTTCCCTGAGCCCGGGTCCAGCTCGTCGTCGCGAGAGGGAAGGGAGTGCTGGACGAAGAGTAATCTCTCTTGGCTGTTCCCACATTCCTTGTTGAAGGGTTCTCTGGGTGCACACACCCGAGACCTCCTTAGACATGGAATGCTGATCCCTATACTTTTCCATCTGAGTGGTTTTAATTAAGAAAAACTCTGGCTGCCAGTCTTAAAAAGAATCATTACTTCTCCCTGACAAAAGGCAGTACCTGTGTATGTGAAGTCAGTCTGGCACAGAGGATAAAGGCTCTACTATCCTGAGGGAACTTTTTAGGAGAGACAACAGATGGAGTCTGTCCTCCTCACAGACCAGGCATCCACCAAAACTCCTGCCGCTGAGCCAGGAGGGAGCCCCTGGGCTCCCCGGAGACCATTCTGGAAGTCTCTCTCTGGCTTTCTTATTACTATGGTCCATGTTCCCTGCATCTCCTCAACATCCCAGCGACCTGAAATGGAGTTGCCTCTAGGGTGATGGGTCACCTTCCTATGTCCCATCACCATTACGTATATTCAATAACCATCAATACTCTGTGAGCTCTTTTGTCTCCTGGCGAGGGTGCCTCCCCTGGGCCAACCAGGTAAGGATCCAGTGAGGCCAGGGCCTGCTAACAAGCTCAAGAAGTAAACTCCTCTGCCATCATTCTGTCTTGCTCTTCACAATGATCCCCTGTAGACTCGAGAGCAACTCTCAAGGCTCAAGGCCATTCGGGTGGCTACCGGAACTTAACCGCTGATCTTTTCTCCCGTCACAGCGCCACTTAGCCCCAGAAGTGTTTCGGGAAATCTTTGGAATGTCCATACAGGAATTTGACAAGTTACCTCTTTGGAGACGCAACGACATGAAGAAGAAAGCGAGACTCTTCTAGGCCTCCCCCACCCCCTGCCCGCCCCCGCCCCCGCCCCGCGTAGACAGCAGGTGGAAAAAGGACTGACGTGGCGGTGACACAGAAGATGTTGTGTTAAGGCCCAAACTTGATCGGAGAACTTTCAAGCTACTGTCCCTCAGCAACGACGAAAGGGGAAACCTGGTGAAAACGCCCACGGGCCACACTCCGGACCCACCACGGGCAACACTTGCCAAGAAGCAACAGGATAGAAATTTCTGTGTTCCCCACACTCGTGACCTTTTTCCATCACCTTATGTACGCAACAGTTCCTATAACTGTTGTCTCACAATAGTGCTGACCGTATGGGTAAGAGCCAGCAAGTGCCCTTAGGACGCCGCATGGAAAAAAAGCAGCTGTAGTAATTCCGAGGTAGGAACATATTTATTATGTAGCACTGTGGCTAAGAAGGAAGAGCCTGAGGGACATATCCATGCGGGCACACCACTTTGCGCACCCCTGTCCTCACGGGCCTCGCGAAGCCCGACCTGCGCCCCCCAGCAGGATGGAGATCAGCGTCGGGGCACCGGGCAAGCTCTGCTCTGAGGGGGCTGAATAGCCGCCAGAGTCATTTTTAACACGCTCCTTTTTCTCTACTGTTTGCTAGGACCTGGTTGGCAAGTTACTTCGCTATTATTTAAAAACAAAAAAAAAAAAAAATTTGTTTAAGAGAAAGAGAGGGAAATGGAATGAAAGGAATATCTCCCTTCATTCTTTTCCTGCTTCAGACTGTGTGCTTCGTTCAGCCTCCCCACCACGGACAGCAGCTGTCCCCCGGCCCCACCGCCCAGAAAGGAAAGGGAGAGGTTCTCTCCGGTTGTGTGCTGTTAGATGACTTTTGCCCAAGGGGGCCGCGGCACTCTTGGCAAAAAGAAAAAAAACAAAAAAACAAAAAAAACCACAAAGAAATGTGTCCCGCCCACGCTAGTCCTTCTTCCACCCAGCATCCTCTGAATCCGATCAAGCCCACCGGCGTTTTGGGGGTGGGGGGGGGGGTTGAGGTCTTTTCAGTAGTCGGCTAAGGAAAGGGCACGCTTTTCTCTCTGCAATCTCTGCAACTCCAGGGTACATTGCTTCAGACTGATTTAATTTGGCCTTTTCAGCTTTCCTTCTCTGCCTAGCTCTGTTGACTCCATGGTGTGTGTGTGTGTGTGTGTGTGCGTGTGCGTACGTGGACGCACCCAGGGTAGTTTGGGGAGTCTGCGTGTACTTTTACATCTCATTTCTGCTTGAGCGTTTGTCCGGCCGGGCGGCAGCTTTTCCAAGGAACATTTGCACACGTGCGCCTGACTCAAAGGGCGAGAGTGAGGCTACACCGCACCCAACAAGGCATCCTTCGTGGAAGGGTGTTGGTGTCAGAAGCCAGCATCCTCCGTGATCGATGGAGCTCAGGTCAGCAGCACGCCGAGGAGGAAACAGACCTCCGATCGGGCTGTGTGTGGAGCTCGGAGCATCGCACCAGAGTTCACCAATTTGGCAACACGAGATTTAAAGCGGGGCCTAGGATTTCACCAAAACGCGCGTGTAAGACCGCATCACGGTTCCCGGCAGCTTCCGGCCGTGGCTCAAATGAGCTGTGAGTCGGATGAGGGAGGGTCTCTCCAGCTCCACACACGGGAGGCTTTCACATGTATTCGTGTGCACTGGGGGCTCTGCCTAGGAATTGAAACTCTGTTTTAAAGCCAAAGGAGAAATCATGCGAATTCTCTTCCTATGCCTCTGATAATAAAGGCTCAGAAGTTCTTCCTGCTGGCACCAAGTATTTGAACTAGTTGCTAACTGACTCCAGTGGTAAAAAGCAAGGAAACTTGTTCCAGGACCTGTACTGCGAACCTCTAACTTGTGACGCACTCCATCACCCGGGTGCTGTGCTGAGCTCTGGGTCTGCTCAGTAGCACTGTCCTGCACCCTCGCCAAGGGGATCGAAAGCCGCCTGTCCTTTCAGTGCTAGACACTGAATGTTTGAGGACTGTTCTCACAAATAGGAGTGTGTGTGTGTGTGTGTGTGTGTGTGTGTGCACGCGCATTGGACCTACTAACGCGTTTTGCAAGTGGCTCTGATGGAGTGGACGAAAGAAGACCGGCTCCTCCTGGGTCTGAAGCCTCCGGACCGCAGCTCGCAGTTTAGTGCCTCTTGCCTCGTTCAGTATTTCTGCCGCCCCGACTTCCCTCCGACCTCTCCTGCACCTGCCGCCTCAGGCCCGCGTATCCTAGTCCTTGCTTTGCCCTGGCCCAGTGGGAGGAGTGGAGACCAGAGGGTATTCCCAGTAATCAGTCACAAGCATGGCCAAATGGGTGCCCGTGCTAGGCTGGTGGAGAGAAGTTTTTCATTACGGGGATAAGAAAGGGCCCTCCGTGTTTTCATTGGTTAATGAATTATGACCCATGTGCACATAGATCAAATGTCAGTGGGAGAAAAATTGCAGTGGTAGTTAAAGATCCGAACCAAAACCTCCCACCAATGAAACTCTACTTCTGTTGTATCTTTTGAATTCAATTCTGCATCCAACTTGGGGATCGGGGGTGGGAAGCTTCTTTCCGTATTGAGCGTACTAGCTCATTTAAACTGCACCGTGCAAAAATGCATTACCAGAAAACGTCAGTAGCCTCCCGTCTGCGGGCAGAGCAGCGCTGTGCTCTGGGGAGGGGTTGTAGACAACCATATCGTGGAGCGGGTTCCCCGACTCCACTCCCGGCAGAAGACTCCAGCTGGAGGGATGGGCCGTGGGGCAACCTGGTTCTCCTAACTGCCAAATCTATTCTATAGGCTACAATGGCCTCTCCGTTTTTTTAAAAACCGGGCTCAGCATGCTTGTCCTCGGCACGTCCAGGCCATCGTGCAGGACATCCGCGTTCTCTGCTTGAACCCCACTCTGCACCGCACATAAAAATTCCACTTGTTAACGCAGCCAAAGGAACAGAGATTGTTCCCTCTAGGGAAGGACTCCCACAGCTGGCAAACTTTCCTGGCACGTACCCCAAGGGCTCCATTTTTGAGGGTTGGGCCTACTTGCAATTCCTTAAGCACACACCGATTGCATGAAGCAAAAGAAGCCTCTGGCAACATGAAAGTCAGTGCTTCCTTTCCGGTTTCTCCCAGGAGAGCCAGGATACCATTTAGTCTTCCTGTGTGGTGTAAGAGGAGACGTGAAGATCATTTGGGAACTTGTACAGCCCGCTGTGCACCCACATTTTGGTTTGGGTTAGTTAGGAAATGTTCTTCATGTGACTCGTTCAATAACTAGCAGTAAACTGCCTGTTCTGTGCAACCTCACGCAGAAGAGCCAGAGTTCATGGGCACTGTGGCCCGCACTCCCCGTGCAGCTCACGTTCTCAGTCTGGTTGTGCCCGTCAACTCTACCTAGAGAAGTCTTGCTGGAGATGTTTATAAAACTTTCACCTAATTTCTTTACACTTGAAAGCAAACACCTTTTTCTAAAGAATTGCTTCTCAGATGATTATATCAAATATATACGCTTTTGCAAGTTAAAAAAAAAAATTCAAATTCACTACTTTTGACTAGGTAGGTCTTTCTAAAAATTCTTTCAAAAAGCTTGGTGTTAGCGTCCTGCGCGTCGAAGGGGCAGGTGAGCCCTCTCTCTGTCAGGAAAGATGGTGGAAGGAAAGGAACTCCGTGTCTTCCCCCCTTCTGTGTCCTCTTGAGACAAGCTCGATTTTTAGATCACGTCTTCTGCATTCCTGGTCACTGTTCAGTCTACACTTCCTCGGCCAGCCTTGACCTTCTTGATCTTTGAAATTGTTTTCTTTTGATAAACCAAGTGTTTGTGAGTAAGCCCCTACAACTCACTCATTAGTACTCCCTTTTGAAGAATGTTCTCTTAAAAAAAGATGATTTCAGGCTTGAGATTTACAGTTGACGCCACCTTAGAGTGTAATGTACATTAAGGAAACTACCCGACTGTGTCGTAATGAAAGAAAGCGAAACGTTGACTTTGGCCTTTAAAAAAAAAAAAAAATCGCTTTCCATTTGTTGCCCAGGAAGCAATGAGGAGATGGTGATGGATATGCTTTGCATGTGGATTTTTGTGTTTTCATTTGGGCAAATGTAACTTATGGCAAACTCAGAAAGGGGGAGGTGGTCCGTTTAAGCTGAAAGAAACTTTCGAAACAATGTATGCAGACACAACAAAATCGAATCCAACATTTTCTGACGCTTGATGTAATCGACTGGCAATTGTTATCATTAAATAAAATTCTTCCCCAAAGTGTCTTTCTCAAGAGTGAAGATCCCATGAGTCACTTTTGGAACCTATTCACCAAAGGTAGCAGGAGACAATACTATTTACACCAACATCCAGAAAGGTGGTGAGCCACTTGATGATGGTCTATGCCCATGTTTCTTTATCCTGTGGAAGAGAAAACAGTTGTCCACGATATCGATGTTCCTCTTGGGTTCCGTGTAAAGACCCGTCCGGTAACAAATGAGTGTGGTTTCTGTGAGTGGCAGACAAATCTCTTACCATCCTTTCGAGTTTGGTTTAATGGAGTTTTTTTTTTTGCAAGTGTCAAAAGACGTCCAGTTCTTCCTGCCCTCCCCTTTCAGAAATATGAAAGTGAATATTTGGAAGAGCTGCTGTTGGAAAGATGTGTCGTGTCCCCCGTGAAAGTGAGTGGGTGTCCGTCTGTGCCCCGAATACTACATACTAGTATGCAGAGGCAGGGGCGGCCAGCTGGCCCCACGTCGCTGTGCTTTATGGCCCCGACCTGCCCCACGCTCCTGTCGCAAGCAGCACTTGCCGCTTCCCTGCCCCATACTCTGTGTCACTGTTGTGCACTCGCCACTCAGTGAATAAAGTGTGTGCTTTATTCTGTTCATAAATGCCTCCACGCCGTGTTGCCTTTCTTGCTCCCCTGCTCCCTTGAAAGGTCTGTCCCATTTGAACAAGTACCAGCCTGACTTATGACCAGAACAAAATCAGAATACCAAAGCTTTAGGAATGCATTTTTGTCACATAGGAAGG